GAAAATAGTAGTTCAGCCAAGAGACAAGTGCAGCTGCTCCACCAGCCCCCAGACTAGAAACTGCATGAGTCTGCAGCTTCATCTACTGTGCAACAGCAGTCACTTGCAGATGGTAATCTACTTGTGTGTCTAGACACAGCTCAAAATTCAGCTACTAAAAGCTAAGTTCCTATTTCTGCAAAGCTAAGGTGTACTTGTGAAGATGAGCCACAAACTTAACAGAATGCAGAGACATGACTCTTGAAGATCCACAGAATAGTTTTCAACTATTATAAAATCATCAGTGGAAGTGTTTGACACTTACTCTACCATCACTGTGATAAGCTTTCTTCCATTGCTATCCTCTAACAGATCATAGAATCATAGAATTTTTGGGGTTGGAATGGACCTTCCAGATCATCTAGTCCCAACCCCTGCCCTGGGCAGGGACATCTCCTCACTAGACCAGGTTGCTCAAGGCTTTATCCAATCTGGCTTTGAACATTGCCAGGGTTGGGGCAGCCACTATCTCCCTATTACTATTTTGAAAATATTGATTCCCAAATCTTTACTAAACAGCAGCCAAGCAGCCATTAACTTGGGGGCAAAAAGCAACTTCTACACAACAGCACCGTAACATTTAACAACAGAATTACACAAACAGTAATGAGCATTTAATTAATCTGTACTCATAACCCTTCTCTCCTCCCTCCATCTCTACAAAAACTCATTTGGCTAGTGCAAAGGTCAGTTTCCTACTTTGCAACAGGAAGCACTTCTCAAGTAGCTCATGAACAGACACACAAATACTGATTTTCACTGAGAAATACTGACAATGAACTACAGGCTACTGGAATAGAAAAATCCCACCCTTATTGTCATGCCTGACAATTGTGAAATAACACAAGTTCAAACAAGTGGGTTTTTTAAACATATTAGTAATGCAACTTACTTGAAGTTTTGCTAGCTGAGCTGTGCGAGACACTATTTTGTTGTAGGGGTCAACAATTTTGACTTTAATTCTAAAAAGAAGAAGAGAAATTTTTTTATAGCAGTGATGATAACATTATAGAACACAAGAATTTATACTTTCTAATCACATGATGAATGGCATACCTGTCAACAGTACTTTGCAGAGCACCAATTCTGGTTTGCATCATTTGGAGGACACCTGCAAAATAAAGCAGATTTTTTTTTTCATGGAAGACTTGTCAATTATAGAGATTTTCTTCAAATCATAGTAACTGCTGCAGACTACTTTGGCATTAAACAAAAGCTCAATAGTTTCCCTCTTTACAGCAAAGCATTCCAACAGGCTGAACTTAATAAAATGCTGCATATTGGGAAATAAACGGAGCAAGTAATAGGTCACTTACTATCATGCAAAATTTATTGGTAGAGAACACAGACCTACAGAAGAAATATCACTCTGAAATGCATCATTTGTGATGTTTCAAATAATATTTAGAGGATGCTACTTTCTAAGAGAATGGTGATCAGGACTGTGGTCTGGATCTGGCACTGGTTTAGGGCAAAGTGGTTCCAGCAGAGTGGCAGGTTAGTGGTTGGAGTGATGATCTCAGAGGTCTCCCCTAATCTTGATGATTCTGTGACTCTCTGCACATATAACCCGATACAAACACCTGAACATGATATACAAAAATGGTACAAGCTATTTAACACTACTTATTTAACCTAGTGACTAAACAGTTCAGAGAAACCAACAGACAAGAGGACTGAGAAGATAAGTAATTCTATTTCCAGGTTTTCTTCCTGTGCATAAGCATCTTTAGCAAAAAGTAAGGTATCAATGTCATTGTAAGGTCATCTCATTTTGATTACAAACAGGGCAGACTACCCTAATCATGTTTGTTCCAGATTATTTTGGCACAGCAGCACGAGGAAAGCTGACAAGCATACTTGTTCTTTTCGTGTTCAATTGCAAACAAAGCAGTCAAGGATAGCAGTCATCTTTGCAATATGGAATCAGCCTGCTGAGAATTTAATTGAGTTAGACAAACCCAGGCCTACGAAATTAGTTCTGTTCCAGTTATTGTTAGCATTCTCAAACATGCTACATTTTTGTCAAGCCCTGTTTGCAAGCATGTCATCATGAAATTAGATCAAACTGCAGCATGATACACTACGATGGAAGACAAACAAAACTGCTGCTAATAGCTGAATTCAGGTTGTCCTGCACTGTGACCATATCTCACTTATTTTGTATAAATATGTAAACTCCCACCTTCTCCATATTTCAGAATTATTAACTCAGCTTAGGGATAGACTCATGGGTTCCCTGGCATTTATACGTGGACAGCCATGCAATTCTCACACAGCAGAAGATGACAATATGGGAAATTTGGCAAAATAGGATGCATTTTCCACTCTGCATTGCAATAATGGGGGAGGGCCAGCAGCACCACATTGCTGCATCTATGGCTGTGACACTGCTGTAAAGCATCCAGCAGCTCTGCCCAGGAGGCAGGATAAGGATGGCTGAAAAGGCCATATACTCTCTCCATCTACTGAGGAAGGCACAGGATGGCACCATTTAGCCCATCTTAAGATAACAGGCAGCTCAAGATACCTGTTGAACTACCTATAGACGGAAGAGAGTATGTATAGCAGGTCAGGGTACCATTACAAAAGGTCACAGACCTAAAAAAAAGGACTCTACAAGCTGGGTGTGCCAATTTGAAACGTTTGATGAGACTCACTTTCACACATCCAAGTGACCTACCATGCTGGGAATTAGCTCCATAACCTTCACTTGCTAATTTCCTTGATAAACATCCTAACAGCTATGAGTTTCTAACTTCGTAACTAAAAATTCTGTTGACATCCAACTTTTCTTACGATCCTTGACTCAGTGTTTCCTCTACAGTGAGCATGTATCAGGGCAGACAAAGCTTTGCACAACTTAAAACAGCATCTTTGTGTGCACAGGCTTTTGATCTTCCTGGCAACTGCAGACTTGTAGTTTCTACTGATGTCTCAAGTATCAAATACTTTTCAGGATTAGAACCTCTGCATGCTTCTCCTTCCCTCTCACACAGAAAAGGCCTCTTAAAGAGCATAACCCTAAACAAATGGAGAATAAAATTCAACAAATTCGAGATGAATTGGATTTTATTTCTACTTGGGGTTATTAGTTGTAAAACACACATTATTTACCACACCTGCTTTACAGAAATGCTTCCTAACTGAGTAGTTGTTTTGAAGTATCTCATTCTTTCCTCAGAGCAATTTTATGAAGGAATTGCCTTCAGAAACAACCATGACTACAGAAAACAATTCCACTGAGCACAAATTGCTGTAGATTTTGACTGGGAGGTATTTATCAATCACAAGATTGACTACAGATTCCTATCTACTTCTTAGTTGGACGATGATCACAGATCTGTCCTCTCTGCCTGATTTTCCAGCTGTTTAAAGAGTTATTCAGGAGCTACTACTGCAAGATTAAACACTGGTTCCTTTATTTTTATAGCTATAGGCAAATGCTAACAATCGAATACTGTATCCAAGAAGTTCCAAAGACTAAGCATATACTACAACTGTCAGTAACCAGAAGCTCTGGTTATGCCAAAACCTGGAAGCAGAAAAAGGAACAAAGACAAATTACTTAGCAAGTTAAAAAATGGAAGGGGAAAGGGAGATAAGCTTGGAGCCAATAGGATAAGGAAATTAGCATGTTATAGAGTTATCTGTCCGCACACAAAAACCCCAAACCAAACCCAAACCATATGAAGATCCCAGCAAGTGACAAGGAGCAGAATGGCAGGTTTAAGGAGCTCCTGGCATGAGAACAACATACTGCAACCACCTGCTATAAAGATTCAATAGTTCTGAAGTAAGGCAGCAGCATATGTTAAAATCCAGGTCTCAAACAGTGGAATAACACATAGCTATGTATTTAACTTAGTATCCCCTTCCTAGGAAAAAAACATCTCAATGCAGTTAAGATGGTGTGTTAAAGTCTCTTTGGCTAAGAGATGCAAACTATGTGACACTGAAGCTGGTGCTGCCAGCAACAGCTACCTGCTAATGTTGTAAACAAAACTAGGCTCATTTAGAAAAATACATTAAAAGGTCAAAAAAGGCTTTACTGCTAAAGTTTCTCAGAATTGATTACCAAAATATATTTGCCTATGAACCCGCAGTGACTCCAGAGAAGAATCAGCCAAATCTTCTCCCTGGAGCTCCATCTACTGACATCAAAAAAAAAGAGCTGCTACAATGTTACTCCTCAGAAATCACATCTTCCTTAATGTTGAGTAAGCTTAATACCAGGGGCAGAAAGTGGCAGTGAGTGAAGTTCCC